GATAATCAACACTTATGGGATGGTTCGGTAATCTCGATCACGGCCCGTTTAATATGGCCGTTTAACAATCAACTTGGTCGAAAAATTCTATATCGTATCGCGGATATTTTTATTTCGTCGCAACGTATCGCGAGTGACTCGAGTAACGTTGCGATGTAACGTTCACCGGTGTACGTATCTTCCCTTGGCGTGGTTCGTTTTCTCTTTATCGTGGTTTATTCCCCGCCCGTCAAAACCGAGGAAACTTCGCCAAGGATTTAAACGGCGACATTTTGATGAGACACGCGAGGGGATTGAAAAGCGGAAAAGAGTAGGTTAAAGAATTCCTTTAGGCAACGATGATACGACGGGGCGTGCATACGCGAGAAATGGAAAAATATTACGCCCGACCCGGCCGTATAAATTGATGCTTCGTACGCGGGAACAAAAGCGCGTAACTGTCCGCCTTCGCGGATCGTTTCATCCGCTGTATAATGGAATCCTTGGAGCAGAAGAAAGACCGAGGACCTTCGCGAAGGATCAAAGGATTTGCGTCCTGCTTCTCTCGCTTCCCTTTCTCGTATCTCTCGTGATATCGCGATTTTTTTACGCGCGAGAAAGCGACCAACGTTGGAAACGATCGTGTAACTTCGTTCCAAGATCTCGAGAGATTCGATTCGATCTTAATAAGCGACGAAAATGATCGGTTTACGTGAAAACAAAAGATTCGATCGAGGAATTATCACGGTTTGTTGGTTATCACGGGTTTGCCAACGCCGAGTCTGTCGCAATAGCTGAAACCGGACACGAGACGGCGAGTAGATTGGCAGGAAATCCGGGGGCTATCGAGGAAAGAGAGGAGACACAATCGGTACGGGACGAGGGGTCCTCCTCCGCCGATATCCACGTCTGGATATCGAACGTCTGCCTATCGATTTGCTCGAAATGACGATACCTTTCCATCCACCCAATAAACGAAACCAATTCCACTCGTGCTGTAATTAACCCTAGCCCTGGCAACGATACGTAATCGCTAACCTGAAAAATAACCACAGGCTCACTTTTCAGTCTTCCCTTTTCCGCGAAAACTTCTCTTCCCTCTTCTCAAGGGTTCTTCTTTGTCGGTTTCTTTCACCACCTTACCTCTTCCGCACCACACAGGCGGAAACAAAGCGGATTCCCAGGCGTGATGAAGAGACTCAATGCAAAAAAAAAAACGCCATCACCGCGGATTTCTTTCCGTCACCACCCCTCGTGCGATCGGTTCTCGATCGAAAGGGAGCACAAGAACTGGTTAGGTTAGGTTAGGAATCCGATTTCTTCGACAATATTTTCTCCTCCCGTTCGACTTTCTCATTATGCCGCCGTAACGTTTCACGACCTCGCACTCCGTAGCTACACCTACCCCTCCCTAGGGTGGTCGCAATCTCGCGCGAACGATAATTCAAACTCGTCCAATTGGTCGCACTCGTCGCATTATACCCGAGACTTAATCTAAACTTTCACGACGGAGGGGGAGGTAAAAGAGACGGGAGGTCGAGGGGTGGCGAGCCCATCGTAACCATCCAGACTTCTCGACGATAAATATCGCCCAAGAAGTTAACCTCGAAGAGCACGTTTCCCCGAAAATGATCGTGATCTACCTGAGGAATAAATGAGGGGAAAAACGAAGGGAATACCTTCGTTTTCTTACTCTATCGTCGACTCGATAAAACTCGAGACCACTTTACGAGAATTTTCGCGTTCCTTGTTTTTAATTACTATCATCCGCTTCTCTTTTATTCTCCTCATATTCTTCATCCATACTTGCTTCTCTCTCGTTCTTTTTTCCCGTCGGATAAACTGCATCTCTAACAACCCCTACACGCATCCCCTTTGACGTTTACCGTGGCAAGATGTAATTTCGCGCGCGGATATCACCGACCGAAGGGAGAGAATATCGTGGCGAGGGAGGAGAATAATAATTCTCGGGAGAAATCGACATTTTGGATCGTTGAAGGGGCGACGCCTTCCCCGCGGATCGAACGTCTTCAGAGGGGAGGATCGAAGACACAGTTCTCGCCGTCCTAATTTCCACGGAGAGCCGATGAAGAACCTCCGGAAAACTCGGTCCGAGAGACAAAGTGTTTACTGCAGTTACGCTTTCGATAGTTGCAACGGGGATGGAGAGAATTCGATCAAGAATGCGTTTAACAAAAACCCGGCTCTCCTTCGAAACTCGCGCGAAATAATTGCTTCGAGATTAATTATCTCTCTCACTCCAACAGAAATTATAGATTATAAATAATTCTGAACAAGAGCTGCTCGAGAGAATTTTTATCGCGGCTCACCTTCCGTTCAAAAGATTTCCCCCTCACGGAAATTCTCACCAAATTCCCCGCCCCGTTTAATCGAAACGGAACGGAAGATAAATCTCGAGAGGACGGAGACAGAGAAAGAGAAAGAAGATTCTCCAATTACGCGTAATGATGTAAAATCGTGGGGCGATAATGGGTCCCCGGGTTCACCACGCCGACGAGACACGTGTTCACTATTAATAGGCCAGCGCCGTTTTTATCCGGTCGTCGTGGGAGGAAAAAGCTCGAGGGAGAAGGGAAGAGAGAGAGAGAGAGAGAGAGGAGGCGACGATAAGAAAAAGGAGGAGACGGCGGTGGCAGACCGA